GGCTCAAGCGGTAGCGCGCTCGCCTGGCATGCGTGCGGCCCGGGTTCGATCCTCAGCACCACATACCAACAAAGATGTTGTGTCTGCCGAGAACTAAAAAATAAATATTAAAAAAAAAAAGTAGAAGTACACTGTAAAATGATAGAAATACAGTAAATACACTAATCAGTAACGTAATCCTTTATTTTCAAGTATCATACTGTACTATACTTTTATACAGTTGGCAGCACAGAGGTTTGTCTACAGTGGCATTGCAATTTTAAAGATATATATATATACATACAGCCTGAAGGTGATAGCTGTATATACAGTATTTTGGTTAACACAAACCTTTCATCTTTCTTAGTTGCAAACAAATGAGCAGTGAATTGCACCTTGATATTGTGTTGGCTAGACATCACTAGGCAACAGAAATTTTTCAGTTCCATTATAAAAATTATGTATTTCATTAAAATTGGCTAAGAATATCAAATTTTATGTGATACTAAATAAGCTGAGAGGTTTGTGCATTTCTTAAAATTGTAATTCCCACAAATGCCAGTTAAATATTGTGAATAACAGTTGTTATTGTTCAGTACTATCGTGTGTCTTTTGTTAGAACATACCGTGAGATAAGTAGGTATTAGTGAATGTGACCAATAGTGAGATAATGGCAAGTAAATTTTAAGTTTAGATAATGAAACAATCAATGGGAAAGTAAGTTTGAATTTGAGGAAGATTCCTGTGAAAGATATATCATTTACTTTGAATAATRGGATTTATTCTGATTGTCCAAAGTAAACTAGGTAATATGTTTATGAGAAAAATAGGAACCTGTGGTTTGACCTGAAAACAGAACAGTTTGTGGAAAAAAAAAAAAACTGCTGAATGCCAGTAATGTAGGAATGTCCATGAATTGCCTTTCTAGTTAAAAACAAGTTTTGCTACTTAGTGTCTCAATTCCTTGTTTTAGTGATTCTGTAAAGATTGTGGCATTGTACTAGAGCACTTGCATGTGGAACAAACTGTGGTCCCGGGACAGGTTTCTTCACTCTAATAATGCCCACGTTTATACTGCAGTGTTGTGAATGTTACTGATTAAAAACATTAACCAGCTTGAGCAGGTATCCTTCACTGTGGAGTTGGCCCCAATTTCCTTTTGTTTATGTGAGCCCTTTGTATAGTCAGGGTTAATTTTTGCCTTAAAACATTCTTCATGTGTATTAAAATTTGAGGGTTTTTCCCAGTATTCTTTCATTGGGTATATATTTGAAGAGTTTCCTGGAGTTCTCTCTCTTCTCCCACCCAGTATTGGGTATTGAACCAGGAGCTTGGCACATGGCTAAGCTACCGCTCTTCCACTGAGCTACACTCTCAGCCCCTTTTCAATTTTAATTTGAAACAGAGTTTCTCATAACTTTGCCTGGACTGACCTCGAACTTGTGATCTTCTTGCTTCAGCCTCTTGATCTTTTTAGATGTTTTTTGGCTGATTTTTTTTGTCTTTATGTTGAGACATTGATTTAATTCTGATTTCTACTTTAAAATATTTCCATGTTGGCTTGGTGTGGTGGCACATACCTGTAATTGTAGCTACTCAGGAGGCTGAGGCTGGAGGATCACAAGTTTTGAGGCCAGCCTGGGCAACTTAGTGGGACCCTATCACAAAACAAAATTATAAAAGGTCTGGGATGTAGCTCAGTGGTAGAGTACCACTGGATTAAATCCTCAATATCAAAGTCTGTGTCTGTCTCATACAGATATCATCAAATGTTTATCTCTACAATCTCATTTTTGTAGGTAGACTTAGTCTTGGACTAAAGCTACCCATGATCATTTGTGACTTTCTTAATAAGATTTTTCTTAATAATATTTATTAATATTTCCATAAAGTTATAACCCCTTTTGTTTGCTTTTAACATGCTTACATATTCTGAGATCTTGTCTTCATTTTAGTCTCAGCTGTTCTTCTCTTGGGTCATTTTTGTGTCTCTTCCTGGAGATAATGTTCCATAAATAGTTGTCTGTGGAGGTACATCTCTGGTTCAGACTGCTGCCTTTCAGTCCAGACATGTCTCATCATGGGATTTCTGATATCTTCCAAGGCTTTTCTATTTCTGCTATTTGGAAATAACCCATGGAAATGGGATGTTTCAACATAAACCATATTTTTTAAAAAAGATTTTTTAGCAATTCTTTCCCTATTTCGGACCCTTTGAATTGCTGGTTCTCTATTTAGCATTAAAAATCTACAGCTATTAAATCCTTGAATGTACCTGATACCTGGGAGCTGTCTCTGAAAAGCTTAGTAGAAGTCTCTTTTTCTTTGTGTTCCTCTTTCAGAAATTGATAGAGTCCTGAAATAATGGAGATTTCCTGCTTATGCAGAATGAGGCTTATGAAAGAAGAGTTAGAAATAAGTGTCTGTTGACCGATGTGTAGTGAGGCACAGGTGGTGGTGAAGAAATTGAGAAAATAATTGTATTATTGAAGCTTCTAGGGAATATAGCCTGAGAAAAATGAGTATCACTCATGTCTGGAAATCATATCTACTCCAAGCCACAATTTACCATCATTTAGAATAATAAAGAAATGTTTTTTCTTCTTCTTTTTTTAAATTTTAAATATCCCCCAACCAGTTTGATTTAGGACATTATCATATAAAAGTGCATGATATTCCTAGTGGACTGCTTGAAGTAAGACAAGTATACTTTTGGAATTATCAGCTCTGTTATTTTTTAGTGTTATCAATTCTGTAGATAAATCCAGTATTTATGGAACATTTATCATACCTGAAAACTGTGCCATAAACTCAGTGGAAACTTCTGATAAAGGATAATAGGGGCTGAAGGTGTAGCTCAGTGGTTAAGTGCCCCTGAGTTCAATCCCCAGTACCAAAAAAAAAAAAAAAAAATAGTGTCACCACTTCAGAATTTATGATCTCATTGATCATATGTCCATTTGTACAAATAGAAAGCAATATAAGGCACTATTTTAAATTAATATAATATAGATTATCAGCACTAGAAAGTTCAGAGGAACAATAATAAAAGGAAACTACTAAGTGCCAGATAGTTTGCATTATTATCACCTTTAATCCTCCCAAAAGTCTTATAGGAACACATCATWATCCTCATTTTACATATGAGTAAATACATGCTTGGAATGTAAGTGACCTATACACCTGTAGAATTGGCATTTGGTCCCATTTTATTCTACTTTTCTGCTGCTCATCTTCACTGAGAGAAGGTGACATGGAAAAGGCCTTCATCAAAGGAAAACAGCATGGACTAATGCCTTTGGAGGCAAATTTACAATTTTTTATGGGTTTAGAGGAAAAACTGGAGAACAAAAGGGGGCCAGAATAGAGAAGGCTTTGAAAAGGCAGGAAATGATGCTCTAAGGCATCACTTTCAGATGAAATGTCCTACAGTGATGGGAATTTTCTCTATTTATACTGTCTAGTGCCTGAGCTTCTATACACATAGTCATTGAACGTTTGAAATGTGGTTAATTTTTWAGGAACTTAATTTTAAATGTTACTTAATTTAAATAACACCATGTCTGGTTAGTGACTATAATATAGCTCTAGGAAGTTAATAATTTACAATTTTGATCAGATATGTGATATGGTGAAAGTGTTAATTTGAAGGGAAAAAATTAATACTCAAAATTCATCCTATTAAGAGAATGCAAAACAAGTTTAGAATATTATTGGTTTTACCAATTTAATGTTATCCCCTTTTTTAAAATACAGGGACTTCGATTTATTCAATTGAAAAATCCTTGGAGTCATTTACGTTGGAAAGGAAGATACAGTGAAAATGATATAAAAAACTGGACTCCAGAGTTGCAAAAGTATTTGAACTTTGATCCCCGAACAGCTCAGAAAATAGATAATGGTAAATATGTCTTACTTTTTATTTATATTTATTAAAAAATTATTTTTCAGTACTGTGGATCTAACGCAGGGCATCATGCATGCTAGGCAAGTACTSTACCACTGAGCTATACCCCAGCCCTTTTTATTTTTTATTTTTTTGAGACAGGGTCTTACTAAGTTGCTGAGGTTGGCTTTGAATTTGTGGTTCTCCTGAGTAGCTGAGATTCAGGTGTGAACYACCCTGCTTGGCTGATATCATGTTTTAATAAGGTGAAATGTTCTTAACTGATTTAAGTCATATATCATTAATATATTTTTAGATTAACAAAGACATTAATTTTCAGGAATATTTTGGATTTCCTGGGATGATCTCTGCCAGTATTATGATGTGATTTATTTGAGTTGGAATCCAGGGCTTTTTAAAGAATCAACATGTATTCACAGGTAACTTTTACATATTTTAGAGCATTCTACACCATTTAAATTTGAAATGTAATTGTTAATTCAGGAGGAATAGCATTCTCTTATTTTTGTCATGTCCACAGATGAGCACCTTATAATAGTTGTTTTATTTCTTGGTTATGCCAAAAAATTGTAAAGAAGAATAAAACCAAAGAATCTGATAGCTTAATTGTATTTTAAACACAATACTTTTTAGCTCTGTGATAAATTGAATCACTATTTTCTTCTTTGTTTACTTTATCTTTTAGTACCTGGGATGCTAAGCAAGGACCTGTGAAAGACGCCTATAGCCTAGCTAACAATCCCCAATACAAACTGGAGGTGCAATGTCCACAAGGGGGTGCTGCAGTTTGGGTTTTGCTTAGCAGACACATAACAGACAAGGTACTGATATCCTTCAACTGACACCCCATACTGAAATTCTTCTAAATAGAATTGGACCATTAATACATAATTTGATTATCAGCCTCTTTAATTTATATTGGTACCCTGAAATTGTGTCTTCTAAGATAAATGAATATTTTCCTTTGAGGGAAGTTACACATTATAATCATACACTTAAGATCTTGTTCAAAAATCATTTCTGAAGCTGGGTGTGGTGACGCATGCCTGTAATCCCAGTAGCTCAGGAGGCTGAGAAAGGAGGATCACAAATTCAGAGCCAGCCTCAGCAACTTAATGTGGCACTAAGCAACTTAGTGAGACCTGTCTGTAAATAAAATAAAAATAGGGTTGGGGATATGGCTCAGTGGCTGAGTGCCCCTGAGTTCAATCCCCAGTACCAAAAAAAGAAAGAAAAAAAATCATCTCTGCAGAAARAATATGAAAAGAAATCTTATGTGAGGATTTGGGGTTGATCATACATACTTTAGATCTTATAAATGTTCTCCTACAAATGTGTTAAAGGGGGTTTGGAAATGTTGAATCATTGGTTCTGATTCTAAAATGGCTAACTATAATCAATATCTTAGAATTTTACCAAATACTTCATGTTGTATGGTGTTTTATTAAAATGACAGTTTAATTTAGAAACATCATGCTTTTTATGAACAGTTCAGAGAAATGCTTTTAAATGATACTTTTCCTTTATT